AATGATCGGGACTGCCTCTTGTTAAGAGCCTAAATATCCTCGATCACACAGGGCGTACCTCTAGCGGTTCTTTATTGAATAATTTTCACTACTGACCGGAGGCCGTATTTCTACACCAGGCCCTGATGACTTTTGAGTGTCATTCTACATGGGTCATACTTGTTACTCGAGGGCTTTCTCTGAGCCCTCTCGAGAGGGAGATTTAATAAGTGCCTAAGGTAGACAGTAAGAATAAATAGAACTACCGGGGGATGCTATGGTGGAGGGTATTGTGCCCCTCCTAATGGCAGCCCTCCTCCGGTACCCCGGGATGGTAGAGGCAGGTCACCACCTCCTACAAACTATGTCTCTCTAAATACACCCTACACCATATTAACCCTAATCTTCACTAGGAATGTGAATAGAATATTAGCTTTAGACTACAAATACAATTGTCTATGTATATTCACGAACACAGCAAAGTGTCTACGAATATACATAGACGATGGCGCCATGAGAAAGTTCGAGAACATCGTAGCAGAGGGTTTTCTAGGCACGTGCCTTTTTCCCTCTCACTACGAGTGTTATAATTATATAGCCTAGATGTTAGTAATACAAGTTCGTTCGGGAATAAATAGAGATAGGTCCCGGCGGACTATAAAAGCAGTCCACGTCCAGCGTTAGAGTTCGGACTTTCACTAAGAACATACGGAACACAAGGACGAATAGGACTAAAGACTGCAGTACATTATAATACATGTTTAAAAAAGAAAAAGAAAACATGTGTCTGGAAGTCGAAGTCTGGACTCTGGACTCTGGAGTCAGGTCTAGAGTTCTGGACTGGTCTCTCCTGGAGGACGGGAAGTTGGGAACATCTGCAATTCTGCGTCATATGTGAATGACCGACAGTGCGACCTCTGGGAGTTTGGGACAGACGGAATGATTTTATTTTTCTTCTTCTATTTTCTCTCACTCTCTTCCAGCAGAGGCCAGACTCAAGCAAGACTGCCAGAGTGCCAGACCAGACAGAGGCGGCCGAGGCTGTGGCAGTTTGACCTGTGGAGGCTGTGGGTCGGTAAGGAACTAAGGATCATAGACTGACATTATGGACTCATGGAGTCGTGGACTCTTGAGCTCGTGGTTATTTGTTTCCCGCCCAAAAATATCAACAACAAAAACTTGTCAAGATTTGAGTTGAAGATTTATATAAAGATTTACATAAATATTTATGCTTGAAATCTAAGTACCATTTTTTTAATCAAATAAACTATAAATACCAGTACAATGTACATAGCCTTTTTTGTGTTGTTTATATTTTTCTTCTTCTTCTAAAATAACACGAACAAAAGAAACAAAAATGATTTTTTTTCTTCGAAGCATTAATACTGAAATTTTGCTGTTTTTGTTTGTTTGTTTTTTTACCATCTTGTGGACCTGGGTCCTGATACTACTATTAGTACTGTAAATACTATAGTGTGCCACTGTGCCAGTGTGGACTGGCCGAGTGCCGACTGGCCGTGGATCACAGATTCACAGTGAATGTCTGGAGTTGTAGCCTGCCAGTCTGCCTGCTGCCACTCGACGTCAACTCTTTACTATATTTTGAAATAAAAGTCGGAACTTCAGAAACCTTTCCTATTGTAATTAGACGAAATTAAATGCTCTGATGCTCTGGTTTATGTGAGCTTTGTTCCAGAGGGCAGGGGCCCTGGCCTACTGGGAATACTGAGAAATTTAAAAAAAATGTCATAATATATATAAATTATAGGAGAAAACTTAATTTATCAGACTCCATTTTTTAAAAAGCTTACCATATTTTATTTTTTTTTGTTTCATTCGGTGTTAATTAAAATTTGATGTCGTGCCACTCGTACGAATTCACGATTTCATAAAATGCCAGTACTGCCACGTGCTATTTATATATATTTTGCGTTCAAATTTTTCAAAACCAAAAATTGACCCAGAGGTACATTAAAAAAACAATTTTATTGGCACTTAGATGTTTCAAATTGATCGCAATGACGAGTAATAAACGTGTGCTTGATCTCATCTCGATCGGACAATTGGTTCAAAAGTTTTGAATGATTCCAGTTTGTACCAGAACTGGGTCAAACTAGCCACACGCACAATCATTATACAAGTCCATCCATACCCAACAGATCTTTCCCATTTCTGGCATTAACATAGCATTCTACTTTTTTTAAATTGTCTATGGGGAAGACATAGTCTATAGTAAAAATCCGCGGGCTCCTCTGTCCAATATTCGTTTGATGTTGACATTTGACAACTCAGACATTGTCTGCTCCAATCTACCACTGTTGTTTGTTTTTTTGTATTTGTGTTTTTCTCTTTTTTTTACCAAGATTTTGTTTTTAAAAATAAATAATAGTAATAATATATATATATATAAACAACATTAAAAATAAAAATGAGCCACCGAACTAGTCACCTCTCGCCAGTGACCAGCCTCAGGCGAACACTCTGGGAGTCAATATGCGAATCTGAGACCGAGAACTTGGTACTTTGAAGTTTGTGCTGGAACTTTAGAAGAATACTCAAATCGTCTCTTTTATTATGTATTTACTCTCTTAAATTTTGTTTTATTTAAAAGAAAACAGAGACGTAGACTGATAGTCATAGACACCTATAATTTGTTTTTTTATATATCTTTTTTAAATCTTTTTACGGTTGCTGTTTTTAAAAAAACAACAAAAACAAATTTTCTAAGAAACAACAAAAAATTCATAAATATAAAATATCAGGGGGTGTCTTTGTATATATAAGAGGCGAGTACAGACTACAGAGTACAGTGTACTACAGTGTGGGAAACTAACATTGTTTTTCTTTTCTTTCTGTCGATCGATCGCTTATTATACAATGGAATGCTTTATTTTTATCGCCAGCATTTTCTGCGTATTTTCAATTTCTGTACTTTCTATCAGGCGAGTCGGCGGCTCGGCGACAGGCAGTGAGGCCCATCAGTGACATCACACTACTCTCTACTACTCTAGCCATCATTGCTTTTTTTTAAAAAATGTCATATGTATAGCCTTCTAAAGTTCAGTTCAGATTTCAGACTTCAGCCTTTTCTAGAAACATCTACATATAGAAAGCTATTTGTATTTTGTAATGCTGTCTACTAGACAATTTTAAATTAAAATATTATATGATCCCATAAGTTCCGCAGCCACACACACAAGCTGTAACCATTCAATACATTCATGGCAAGTTGTGCTAACATGTTCGCATTTAAGTACCAATCTCAAGAGTACGGTTATATCAAAAACGAACATGAATCTATAAGTGCCGGTGACTATTACGCCGACGACTTCAAGGCACCTTACAACAGAAAGCCAACTATTAGTCACATGGAATTACATACTACTCAGCGAGTCGATCGACACAAGAGTCAATTCGAATTTCGAAGAGAGCAACCCACACAGGTAGCTTTGGCAACGTCTCTTGAGCGTCCTGAACACGAGCTGCAGCGCGGACCTTCTTCCGCCTCTGGTGTTGACCGGTATCAGACGAGAGATTTGCAGCATGATGGCGCTCACGAGCGTTTCAGCCGCATGGATACCAAGGAGCGGGAAGATGTCGATTTTGAAACACAAGCTCCGGAGCACCTACCATTGTCTAGGCCACAATCGCCAAGAGTGATTGAAGCTGCTTGCCAGGAAACTACGATGGAAAATTTTCTATCTGCTTGTGAAATTTTCCACTCTCAGCGCCAACGTTATAGGGCCGGGGATACTATCGTACCTATAAACGACCCGGGTACTGATTTATATTTTGTCATACAAGGTTCTTGCTATGTGTATGATCGAGGGGTAAAAATCGAAGAACTCGGAGAACTTGAGTTCTTCGGTGAATTGGGTATGTTTCACAATATACCTAGCCCTTATCAATATGTCGCTTCCGTGGATGATTGTCAAGTCCACCAGGTGACTAAAAAAGTTTTAGAAACCTTTCGTCGAGAGAGACAATTCGCTGGTCTCCTCAGTATCTTCCAATCCAGCAGCGAACAACACAAGTTGGACCTTGCCAGGCGAGCAATAGGTAAAAATAGGCATTGTGTGGATTTGAATAGAGATGAGAAGTACATTCCTCGAGATGGATATCGGTATGCTGAAAGGCAGCAAAAGCATAGCATGGATCTTGCACTGGCCGAATGCGTGGAGCGGCAGCGAGGATTTGACCCTTGGGAAAGTGAGTCTCTTTATGAACTATGGGATTTACAAGATTCTCAGCGACAAATATTATGCTCTCGAAGTATGCGGAGCTCCTCTCTGGAAGAACAGATAGAGCACAACACACAAAACGATCGAGGAGCTCCGAGACTGAGAACAGTATCACTAAATAGCTACGACAGAAAGAGGCAGCACAGAGATCGAAATTCACACATGGCGAAACACAATGACCGAAATGATGGATTGTCGTCTCGTAGCGAGATTTGCATACAGTCCGCGCGCAATGGACAACGAAAGAGTGCAAGATATCACGCAAGGAATGCCGACCTTCCTTTCCAGTACAACCATTATGCGATTATACCTTCGGCAAGCCCCATGAGTGAAGAGTTCTCTAAGCATTCGCGAGATCCCACCAATTACATGGGTAATACCATACCTCGCCACTCGACGACTGACCACTTACAGTCTGGGAGTGGATCTGAAAGGGGAGTCCCAAAAGGTATTGGAGGTGTTGATCGGAGCAGGTACAATTTGAGTGGGCCAGCATCGAGACCGTTGCCATATTCGAGAGCTTTCAACGAGGCTAATAGTGACAATATCGACGGGAGCCAAAGAAAAAGCTTGGAAACGATTATCAAAACAAAGATCGCGCAACATCGCTTGTCTTACGCCGACGCTATCCAAGCAGAGATACTGTCTATTACATAGTGAAGCTCAACAACATAAAATAAAATGAATTTTTTATATTTTGATACCAAAAAAAAACACTTTGATACATATCCCAAAAAAAAAATTCTAAAATGCATTGAGCCAGTGTGACTGGTAGTTTGATTGAACGTTGGTAATTCAGCTGATTTGCGTCTACGTGTTCAACCATAAACTTATATTTGGCGGCTTTCTCACAAAAGGCTAGTGAACTTGGCAAAGAAGCATGCTTTTCCGCTTGTGAAACTGTATTTTTCGAGTATCAAATTCTGTTGGCTCTCTCGTGCTCACTGAAAACAAAAATATATGCCACCCTCGTCCTTCACCTAGTCTTCAGTAGCTACTTCTAATAATACAAGCATAAAAATAAATACATACAATCCATGTATTTATATATACAAGGTGTATACGTGGCTTTCATTCAACCAAATGTACGTATATATGACCTATACATAAGTAAAAACAGACGAAGACACATACACATACACAGACATCTATATATATATATAATCTAAATCTATATATATACATACACACACACACACATATATGTATATAAATAGGTATATATATATATCTATACATACAGAAATATATATTTATAGACACCCACACAGCAAAAACACTCACATTTATATACACAAAAATACGAATACGCCCACACCAATTCACCCACCCACATACATACACAAATACATATATATGTATATATATACATATATATATACATTGTCCATAAAATATATGTAAATACATATATAAATAAACATCAATATATAAATGTATACATACATATATACATATAGTTTTATATAGATACATATATATATATATATATACAGACACACACAGATATATATAATAATATAATAATATATACACATATATATATTTACTATACGAATAAATATCAAGAGGTATTTCCCATCCGTGCTATGCGTGGCCATATATGCCTTACCCATAGTTAGATCCTAAACGTAAATGCCCTTCATACTAAAGCCAGATGGTGGGAGTTCTCCCGGTGACTCTGTGTGCTATTTCTTCATTTCGTTGCGATGACATAAAGTACTCTAAATAGAGTCTAAATTCATCGGCTCCTATACTTGTGGGGGGATTGATCTGCTTATATTACTACGCTGAGAATGCTGACTTTTGGGCTGTTGAGCTACGTATTTGAAGCTAATCCTACAACCTATTGGTGCCTGAACCAAAGTGAAAGTACCTGCCAGCCCGAATCCCAGAGACCTTTCACTGGTGTGCAGGGCCATCGTAAACCTTACCGAATCGTAGTAGAACCGTAGCCCACCGGCCTGACTGCTAATTGGTCCCGAATTCTCCGAGCGCGGCAGTGCACTTATATGTGGGGTGCTGATGTCTGTGTAACTATTCTAATTGGCACAGTTCAGAATAGGTTGGGGGGGGGGGGGTTCTGGGAGGGTATTCGTATCACGCCCTTCGTGGGGTAAACCCATCGAACACTAATCGTCGGTGAGGTAAACTAATTGCATACAGGTGGGTGTAGAACAAACTTTCCTATCGCTTGCTGACCTGTCTTTGCATGAGCTATCCTCGCGACAACCACCACGCTAAGCATGTGTAGTGTATGTCTTGTGCGCCGTAACGTAGTTCATCATGCGTCACGCACGCACTCTTAACAAACCCATTGGTCATCGGCCTGTCTGCGGGTGCGCTTATATTTAGTTCGTCAGTGTTCTCCTTGCGGTTACCTGTCCGTGTAAAATCTGTCCTCGAGACAACTCCCACGTTTAGTATGTGCACAGTACGTCTTGTGCTCCATAACGTATCCTGTGTCACGCACTCTTAACAAACTCAATATTCATCGGCCTGTCTGCGTGTGCGCTTATATTAAGTTCGTTAGTGTTCTTGTTGCGATTGCCGTGCTTGGTCTTATGGTGTATAGTGTCCTGCGGCAGCGGCGGTGACTGTGGCAGTGTGACCCGTTTGCGAGTGTCTGTATTCCGGCTGATAGATTCCAGGTATTGCTGACACTGATGAAGAGTATAATGGGAAGTAGCTATAAGATAATGGGTAAAGGCTATGTCATTAGGTATCAGTTTGTAGGTGAGAATAGTATCCACATGCGTATATATATATATATATATGTATATATAATATGTATATATATATATTTGCGGGTGTTTCTGTGCCCCGGCTCAGAGACACTATGTATAGCTGGCACTGGATATAAGTACTACTGTACGTGGGTGTGACAGATGGGGTTACTAGTACATTGTAGACATGGTACTAACTCACATATGATATAGTATATACAAGCGTACATATTTTTTATTTCACGTTTACGAGTACCGGTGCAACGCTACAGAGACTCTACTAGTACTAGATACGTGTACAATTGTCGGTAGTTTATGATAGAGTAGAATATCTTGTGTATACATCGTCTAACAATGAAATGGCATAATCATGACTGGTTGTAATGATTAAAAAAAGTAATCAGTGGGTGTATACATATAGGTTTCAGCTAGAGCTGGTCGCGGACTACGGCAAGAAGGATACAGGGAAGGGTCTTTGTATCCAAAGAGCGTTCAACAGGAGCGTTTGAAAAAACCCTACAGGAACTCGACACACCATAATAAGTACCCAAATATTGTGGTATCATGAGATATAAAGTTTGTGGTATCATGAGATATAAAGTTTGTGGTATCATGAGATATGAAGTACCTAAACACTTCTCAAGGACCGTCTTTTCTACTATTATGGACAGTCTATGGCCTACGTCGGTCGCACTCAGATGTGTATGTTGAAAGACATTCATCCCTTTTTGAGTCGTGAATGTCTTATGTCATCCTATACATTGCCCGGAAGGTAGTGACTCTCCTACACGCCCTCCCTTCGGGAGTGCTTTCGGGATGCCTCTCCCTCGGCGAGCTGCATATTCTTCCGGCTAGCACCAAATAGTCTACCCATATATACACCTATATATAGCTATCTCCACTAACTTCTACCAGTCCACGTATAAAGGTTAACCCTAGTTAAGCACCCGGGTGATATACCTTCGCGTAATTATAGGATACTCTTCCGGTTAACAACACAGGAAGAGACGAACATCTAGCTCACCTGCTTGCGATACCCCTCAGTTAGCTTGACCATCTTGGACCGTTCCTTGAGTATCTTCTTTTTGAATCGCGTGTGGTCCTGATTGGCTGTGTTCAGCAGGTCTTCCCGGAGTGCCTCCATCACTTCGGTGTATGTGGCTTGGTTGTCCTGCGCATAGGTTATGTGTGGGTATAGGTTTAGCTCACTTTAATTGTATATGATAATATGCATTCGTCACTATCATTTTTATTATCATTGATTATATGCATAGTCATATATGAACACACATACATATATATTATATACGATAAATATATATGTAATATAACTATGACGATGATCAAAGGTCATGTTGAGTGGTGAATTATTTCGAGACTGCATACGATAAGCATTATGCCCGATGCGTCGACATACTGAATGTACTTGTGAACCGTTACTCTTTGCAAGCAAACCGGACACACACTCAGTGTGTATACCCACACACACACACCCACATATATACACACCCACACCCACACCCACACACACATATATATATATATATACATACATACATACATACATACATATA